AAGTCTAATACAAGTGTAAATTTAAAAAAAAAAAATGAACTTCATGTGCAAAAGCTATACATTATTCATTTTAAAACGAAATTTTAATAGAGAATCTAAATTGGTCCAGTTTTTACCACCCAACTCAGTGTGATCAATAATTCTCACGTTCAAAGAAGAACATTTCTAAAACGTTATACTATTTTTTACCGATCTATCTATATCTATACTATAGAGAAAGCATGTAAAACAAAGAACACAGATTCCATTGAATTTCCATACAACTTTACAGATCTTCTTCATCTGAATCTCCCTGTCTACAATCACGAACATCATATGATGAAGAAGAAGAAGAAGCAAGGTAGGAGCAGAAAGCTCAATAAACAAGCAAAAATCACTTATTAATTGGTGCAAGAATGGTATAGACCAACAGGAATGTAACAATTACGATTGCACCTGCTAGAGTAAACCTCGGACTAGTCCACAGCATCAGATTTGATCTCTCTGTTCTTTTGATGGGATCTACTTCTTCAGACAATGGATAATCCGATCTTCGCGGGTTCCAGCTTACATATTTGTTTGGAGAGAAATCTGAGAAGATCGTCTTTTTCCCTCGCTTTCTGAACTTCGACCAAGCCTTGTCCCAATCTGTTGAGGGCTTATCACCTGATTCACATAATTGGTAGTCAATGATGCAAAAAGTAATTAGATACTTGATATGATTCAGAAAATTGTAATTCAACTTTGTGCCTGCAAATATCCTTATCATCACCCTAATACTGAGGATAGGCCAATGTAAAGTAACATGGGAAACATTTACTTTATTTAGGCTATTTTCAAACAATAACTGTTTAACCTCAACGTTAAACATCAACTTGATCTGCATTTGATATTGAAAAATTCAAATAGTTAGCTTACAAACTAGAAAAACTCGAGTTACTCAAAATGGTGTCCTCGTGTAAGGGCTCGGGATGTTCGAACATACCTTTCAAGTATTGAATTCAATTCTCTAAATTGAAAACTTAAAATAATTCAAAACGCTTGTTTTCTCATGAAAATAAAGGACAAAGCCTCAAAGATTTCTTGTTTTTATTTTTTAAAAAGGAAAAGATTCAAATTTACAAGTTATGTATGAACCAACTTTCCACACAGGACAACAGAACCTCTACATATACTTAAAGTAATATGATATTACCCACTTTCGTTATAAGCCCTCATGATTTTGCTTCTGATTGTGCCCAATGTGTGACTTTGTTTGTACTCCTAACACTTGGTAATTGAAATCAAGACTTCTTTTGAGAGCCTAGAGCTTGAAAAGTGAGCTGATGATACTCAATATAACTAGAAACAATCAATCTCGCATAAGATGGTAGGACATATAACTCTTGATCATTGAGTAGATGGCACTCGTTCAGAATCAAGGAGACAAGAGAAATGTTGTTGTGCAACAAGTTAATACATATTAAGGAGAATTAGTAGCTTTATAATTGGAAGTTACATGCCTTTATCTGGGCGATCAAGAGCACTATCAAGCTAAAGCCTATTAACGCTTTGAAAAGCAAATTGATCAAGAGATTAAGAAGGAAATTGCTCGTAATTTTTGTATACTCCAAGTGAGTTTTTCCTGTAACTTGGAAGCATTCTTGCTTTTATCGACAAGAGAATTAGTCAAAAACCTTCATCAGCGAGTGACTAATACTTAAAAACAGACGAATCAAATCCTAAACCTAATTTTAGACGAAACGGAAATCTAGATCTCAACACCAACATGTAACTCCTACTCCATTCTAAGTACCTCCGATCATCATACTCAAAATGGCGGGAAAATACGAAAAGCATTTCTCAACACTAAATTACTTTTATCCTTTTAAGACATTTCGATTACTTCCTTAAACCAGAGTGTCCAATGGATTCTTGCATCTCTCCCTCACAGCTCAAACTAAAATCCGAAGTAGCAAGAGAGGTCAACAACGAAGCAAAACTCATAGTCAAACTAAAAATCAGTAAAAATAGAGAAAAGAATACCGATGCCATACGTTTCTGATCATCATTATCGTCATCTTTTCGTGGATCTCTAGGCCTTCTCCCTGAGCACAGAGGAACCGCCGGCGAAGAAGAAGACGGTGAGGACGCAGATGATTTTAGTTTGTTTCTCGAGAAAAAGTAACGAGGTGCGATTACGGTTCCGATTAGCATCGCGGCAAAGATTCCAATTCCAGATTGAAACCAAGAATTCGTTCCTTGGTCTGCATCCACCTATTCACTTCACTGACCCCCCTCAGTCCGTTCCTTCTCATATCCGTATTCGGTGAACTTGCAGGCCTCAGAATCTGCCACGTCATCCGAATCATCGTCTTTGTGGGCCCGTAAGATCCCACGTCAACTAATTTGGGCTTTTTTTTAGAGTATGAATTGGGCCGACCCGTCCAGCTTTTCTCGTTTCTGGCCCAACTAGTTATAAATAGATTAAATTCAATAAATAATTTTAACTGACATGATTCGAAATATCGAAAATGGTTTTAAATTCTTTATCTGAATTTTTTTAATTAATATAATTAAAATGTTTTTTTTAAATAGAAGGACAATAATATTAATAAATTATTATATCATAAATATTAACTATCCATTTAAATTTCAATTCATTTTCAAATTATAGGTTAAAAATGTTCGTAAAATTATATTTAAATTGTAACATTGTGTTAAGAAGATTAAATTTGTATATAGTTTCAATAAATATCTTATTTAGTTCGATTTCTAATAAAAAAATTAAAAATTAAATGATATATCGAAAAAAAATTAAATTACAAATTTAATATAATTCCACGAGTCAATTAATACACGTTCTCTTTATAAAGTGTAATTTTTAAAATTACTAAATTTAGAATTTAACATAAATAAATAAAAACAATCATTAAAGAAAGAAGGGAACGCTTTAGTTAAAGAGGGAAAAGGAAAGAAGAGAAAAGAAAAAAGGTGATGAGACATTTATGACCCTACCCATTGCCTTCTTTGGCAAAACACGAGCCACTCGTGTTTCACTCTCGCGCCTCCGTTAATTTGGCGTTTGCTCGTCCATGTATGTGCCGGTCACCGGTGGCGCGCCCCGTCCCTAAATTGTCGTTTCAGGAAAAAAATATATTAAATATTAATCACAAGTGGGAGATATTTCGCCACGTGTCGATCATTGCAGGGGTGTGGAAAAAAAGTTGGGCGAGGCTGTTGGGCCCACCCACTCCCAAATCCAATGTGCACCACGGAAAAACAAGTTGGTTAGTAGATAAATCTCAGCCGTTGGATCCCGTGGTCACGGTATTGTCCAGCGTGCAAATCCAACCTTTAGAAATAGCTACTGCTTTTAATTTCATCCGTACTTAAAAAATATTTTTTTTTTCTTTCTAATTAATTTCAAATTTTCATCAATATTGAAATTAGTATCCTAACTATTCTAAATTAATTAATCTCGAAAATAAAAAATGAACAATAGTGAAACTCTTATGGAAAAATGTAACACAAATAGAGAATGTAAACTATATATATATATATATATTTATTTATTTATTGATCTTTTAATTTAATATAATAAATTATTATGTTTTAGTTCTACTTAAGCTATTTTTTTCTGAAGTAATTTAATTAATTTTAGAAATTTTCGTTAAGTGAGACATAAAATTTTAATTTGAAAATTGATTTAATTTAAAATAATGTAATAATTTTTTTCTTATCCCATAACGACAGAAGTACGAGAACGAGCGAGCGGGACAGGGACGAGGAGGTGGAGTCATCGGGCACTCGTGGTCGAGAATGACTCGCCGGTAGCTTTCCCAAATCTGCATGGGCCCCACTTTGTGCCCGATTCCCGATTTATTAGGCCACCTAAATGTTGAACATCGCCAAAACATCGGCCTCGCTGTCCCCTTCCTCGTGTAGCATCGTTTGAATTTTCAACGGAGATTGAAAATAAATTTGTTTTTTTTCCTTCATTTATTAAACTAAAAAATAAAATAAAAAACCATTTTTTCGACTTTGAAATCCAACATATAATTTATACTAATTTATGTTATATTTTTAAATAGATTTGTTGAAAATTTTATTTCTAATATTTTTGTTTTAAAATAAGACATCTTTCTAACTCTCAAATAATTAAATCTTAATGATGCATAATTCAAATTAAATAAGCGGTAAATATGTTATTTCATACTAAAAAATTAATTTCATCTAATTCAAATTAAACCTATAAATTAAAAAAAATCATAAATTAATTAACATTATTAAAATTTTAAAAATATTTTATTTATCTAAATCCATAGTACTTTTTAAATATGCTATTATAACTATTTGGAATATACGATATATAATTTTATTATTTTATTGAATCATTTTAAAATGGTAGTTTCTAAATCACTTTATAAATTTTGATGATTTATCTAAATAAAATTAAATAAAAATTTCTATTAGATTTGTAGGTTTATATATTTATTTTATGTTTAATAATTGTATTAAAAAATAATTAGTTATTAAATGAAACTTTAATTACCTATAAGGTTAATTAGGTATTGGTCATCTTTTTCAAGGTAAGAAGTTCGAATTGTCAGCGTAATTTATCGTAACTGATATATACCGTATTATTTGAGGTTGAAAATAAAAAATGATACATAGACGTGGAAGATTATTCGATAAAAAAATTAGATTTAACTTTTAAATATAAAAAATTTTATTTAATTAATTTTAGATAGATATCTACTCTTTTTTTTTTTTACTGGTTTAATCGTGAAAAATTATTATAAATACAATTTTTTTTTTATAGATGAAACAAATTTAATAATTCATTATTATGAAAAAGACAGAATAATGAAATTTATTAGGGATTAAATCTATAAAAGAAAAATAATAATTTAACTAATATGAATATAGATCAAAATATAAATCCATAATTTTGGGACGACATGACTTTTTTTAAAACAAATAAGTAAATAAATACACATTTAAAACGGATATTCCCCGGTAGGCGGCGATTAAATCGTTTCAATCGAACGCTCCCTAGTGGCCAACAAAACGAAAGGCGTCAAATTTCGCTCCACAAGTTCTCATTTCACACCTTGCCCGCCATTGTTACCTTCCTCCGTCTCTGCTCCGATTCAGCCTTATCATGCTCTGATTAACCACATGAACTCCAACGCTTCGAATCCACATACTTCTATGGCGACTTCCTCTGCTGCAGATTCTTCTGGCAAGAAGGTTCGTAAGCCCTACACCATTACCAAGTCCAGAGAGAGTTGGACCGAAGAGGAGCACGATAAATTCCTCGAAGCTCTACAACTGTGAGTTTCTTTTGTCTGTTACTTGCAATTATCTATGATTTTTCGTCTACTGATGTTCGTGTCGAATTCTACCTTCCGAAAGCAACATCCATGTACGATTTGTGTTTTTCTCTGAACTGCTTTATAACTTCCAGACGGAACTTCATCTTCCTTCTAGATTGTAGTTCTCTTGATTCTGCTTTGTTGTCGAGACTGTGGTTTGAGGATTTAACTTCGAGTTTTCTTAACTGTGATGGTTTTGATTTTTGTGTTCCCGCTCTTCGTCATACCACATCGCATATTTTTGTCTCATCTTATTTTTTTCGCATCAACATTATGGAGCTATGATTTTAGTGCTCTTTAATTGGAGTTCTACGTAGATTAGTTATCAGTTGACGCGGAATCAGAGAGTTGAAAGCTCTGTAATTGTGGTTTTTCCATCCTAGAATCGAATTTTTAGTGGCAATTTTACGAGCTTGAGATATTGAGATCCACTAATCCAGTAACCGAAGAAAATTTGATGAGAAAATTGAGATCCGAACATATGTCAAATTTTCAGGTTTGATCGTGACTGGAAGAAAATTGAAGATTTTGTAGGTTCAAAGACAGTTATTCAGGTGAAGAATGGTCGATTTGGTTTGTTGGAGCTTTTTATCTTTGATTTCTTCCTACAACATGTTCTTTACCCTACAGTCAATGCTGCAGATTCGAAGTCATGCCCAAAAGTATTTTTTGAAAGTCCAAAAAAATGGAACAATAGCACATGTACCTCCACCTCGTCCAAAACGCAAGGCTTCACATCCTTATCCACAAAAGGCATCCAAAAATGGTACAACAATCTGATTCATGATCAAAAAACATACTTCAAAGCTCCCAATTACTGACGTACTTAATTAACTGCTATTCAACAGTTTTGGTACCGATGCAAGCGTCAATGGCTTATCCTTCTTCAGTTAATACCCTAGCACTTGGATATTGTCCATGGGAGGATGCATCGATAATGATTAACCCTTCATCCAGCAAAGTCACGCATCCACAAGATGAATTTACAAATCTTCACAGATCTGAAAGTACGTATATTTATCTCCCACCCCTAAAATTTTCATTGAAGTAGACTGGCATTGAAAATTGGACTCTCAAGCCCTTACCTTATTACATGGCATTAAAATTCAGCTGAAAATGCGTCAGAAGGGACACCAATGATCAATAGCAATAGCCTCAATGTTATTGGAAGCCCCGATACGGAAAAGCAGGGAAAACAAGCTCCTATGCTTCATGGTAACATATTCCAGTTTGGTTATAATACAGTGTTATGTCAGTGAAAAACTAGGCCTTAGAAGTAAAATGGCGATCTAACTTCTTATTTATTCGTTATCCTGCAGGCTTACCAGATTTTGCAGAAGTTTATGGCTTCATTGGGAGCGTTTTTGACCCAGAAAGTAAGGAGCATGTGAATAAACTCAAGGAGATGGATCCTATCAACTTTGAAACGGTGAGGTTGAGAATCTGGGATTGTGTCTTTGACTTTACTTCCAAGTATAGTTAGTGTGAGATCCCCCTTCGGTTGGAGAGGAGAACGAAACACCCTTTATAAGGGTGTGGAAACCTCTCTCTAGCAGACACGTTTTAAAATTTTTGAAGAAAAGCTCAAGAGAGAAAGCCCAAAGAGGACAATATCTGTTGGGCTTGGACCGTTACAATTAGTGTCTATAATTGCATGCAATCAGCTGGGCTTCACCCTCGTGCACATTTAGAAATCATATTCTGCTTGTTTATATTGCTTCTTAGTTGCACTTCGAATCATGCTGATCATTAAAGACTCCGGATTAATGCATGTTAAAACACCATTCTGGAAATTATGCAAGCATTTGCTCAAAGCTACAATTGGTGATATGCAGGTTTTGTTGTTGATGAGAAACCTCACTTTTAACTTGTCCAGCCCCGACTTTGAACCACTTGTAAGTATGGCATACTTCTATTCTCCAAGTACACATGTCTGTTTCTACCATGTACTTTTCTTTCTCAGATGCCATGCCATGCCATGCTTATATCTTGTGCCCGAAGCCTATTTTCTTGCTTTGCATGGTTGTAATGTCAAGTCACGGTTTCTCTTTAGATTTGCATAGGGCGTAGCTTCTAGGACTTGAAATGCAATTATAAATTCCCATTTTATTGGTAGAGTGGATTGTGAAACTAGATTGCTAATTTATGCTGGTTAACTTAGGGTTGAACAAAATCTATTTTCATGATGTCCAAGCTCTTTTGCATGTTATATTTAATGGAAACGATTCTAAGAAACTGACGTTGTGTAATTCCCACATTGAAGGAGAACATTCTGAAGGCTCTGGTTGATACTCAGTTTTGGAATTGAATTGTAACTTATTCTCCCCTCATGGTTAAGCATTCGAAAACGTTCTAAACGGTTTCTATGTCGACTTAACTGATTTGTTTCAGAGGACCGTGTTGTCAACCTATGATGTGAATACAAAAACAGTGGCAGTCACTGCAGGAGTGCCTACGAAGAAGCATACCGATGATATATCCTGTTGAATTACCTACTACCTAAAACTACCTCATTCCCCTTGTATCAGCTCTTATCTACTCTGCCTATTACTTGTCGAAGTCAGCGTGGTGGAAAGCCCAGACAATGGCAGCCGCCAGCCAGGGCTGTTAGAGAAGATTGTATCAAAAATTGGTCTCCACTGATTCTTTTGAGGCCTTTATGGATCCTCATCTTGGCACCTTATCAAGGCTCATATTTCACTGGTTTGGCCTATAACCAAATGTATATTTTTGTAAGATCTGTTTGATGAATTTTGTCTTTTGCTAATAAAAATACAGCCCATTAACCGTTTGTGAGGCTGCATATCAATCGGGCTGTTGAATCAAAATGTGGCTCGACCTCAGAGTGGTATTGGTCGATAGGCGATCATCTTGTGCTTGTACTGTTCAAAGTGAGTGTAAAGTGTTCTGATTTAAATTCATCACCTCTTTTTGTAGGCTGTTTTTTTTCCCCCCAAGCAACCTGAAAGAATGAAATGGGTTAGTATTTATAGACGAAATGTGTTTCTAGACAGTCTTCCTTCCCTTCTGGCGACTAATTTTCTTCGATCAATGTTTTGCCTTTCATTAATGGAGGAAATATACTTTGATATCCGATTGATATCTTTTTAGTTAATATATATATATATATTCTAAATTTAACAAAGAGATCATGTTTGGTCGAATATATAATATCTATGGTCGACTTAAAATTTCATGGTGGGTCATTTTGTATTGTTTTGATTATACTTTCGATAAATAAATGTTCGAAAGAAGAGTTTTATATCTAGTAGGTTTTAGTTGACAGTATGATAATTGAAGCTTTATCAACAATCCATCGCCGTTTCTCCTTCTCAAAACTATCTTCCCCACTTGTTCTTCTCAAGATGGGATTGTCTTTCTCACCTCTAATGCGGATTCTTTCTTGGGTATATCAGTCCGATGGGGAGGATTCATCAATCGCGAGAATCATCTAGGTATATAAGGGAGTATCTTTGACTTCCATTAATGTTGTTTCAAGGGGGATTGATTTGACCAGTGGTAGATAGATAACGATTTGGATTGAGTACAAAGATGCAATGAAAATGATTGGGGCCTCCAAGTCCTCTTCTTCCCCAATTTACCACTCCAAGCCATCAAATTGAATGCATGTTGGTTGCTTTACTTCTACCGGGCATGGTTCAACAGTCCACATTGAATCATATTTTCATTTTATATAGACCAAAATGATAATTTCATTTTATGGCATTTTTTTAACGATCTGAGAAAAAAAAAACATATGATAACAATGTTTGGATCAGCTCACTATCGGGTTGATCAATCAGGGCTGCGTTTCCGTACTAGTAAGCACTGAATTGGGCCCAGAACCGTTAGTCCCGATTTAAAACCTAATTCTGTGCTATAAATTGATCAATTTCTCCCCGTCCACGTCTCCATAGAGAAAAGCCCTAGTTCTGCGCATTCACTTGCCCGAAATGGCCGCCGCCGCCGCCGCTCGTCCTTTGGTCGCCGTCCAGTCTCTCGAAGGCGACATCGCAACCGATGCTGCCCCGACGGTGCCATTGCCCGACGTCATGAAAGCCTCTATCCGACCGGATATCGTCAACTTCGTCCACGCCAACATTTCTAAGAACAGACGCCAACCCTATGCCGTAAGCAAGCGCGCAGGTCATCAAACTTCCGCAGAGTCATGGGGTACAGGTCGAGCCGTTTCTCGTATCCCTCGTGTTCCTGGTGGCGGTACTCACCGTGCTGGTCAAGGAGCTTTCGGAAACATGTGTCGTGGAGGTCGTATGTTTGCTCCGACGAAGATCTGGCGCCGATGGCACCGAAAGATCAACGTGAATCAAAAGAGGTATGCTGTTGTTTCCGCCATTGCTGCTTCTGCAGTTCCTTCTCTGGTTTTGGCTCGTGGCCACAGAATCGAGTCTGTTCCGGAATTGCCGCTTGTGATTAGCGACTCCGCCGAAGGAATCGAGAAAACCTCTTCTGCGATTAAGGCTTTGAAGCAGGTCGGTGCATTGCCTGATGCGGAGAAGGCGAAGGACAGTCACGCCATTCGCCCTGGTAAGGGTAAGATGAGGAACCGTCGCTATATTTCTCGTAAGGGTCCATTGATTGTTTATGGTACTGAAGGTGCTAAGCTTGTCAAGGCCTTCCGCAACATTCCTGGCATTGATATTGTGAATGTTGAGAGGCTGAATCTTTTGAAGCTCGCACCCGGAGGTCATCTTGGAAGATTTGTTATCTGGACCAAAACTGCTTTTGAGAAGCTTGATTCCATTTATGGATCGTTTGAGAAGTCTTCTGAGAAGAAGAAGGGTTACGTGCTTCCGAGGGCCAAAATGGTCAATGCTGATTTGTCTAGAATCATCAATTCCGACGAGGTTCAATCTGTCGTTAAACCCATCAAGAAGGATGTGAAGAGACCGTCATTGAAGAAGAACCCACTCAAGAACCTTAACGCCATGTTGAAGCTTAACCCATATGCTAAGACTGCAAGGAGAATGTCTTTATTGGCTGAGGCACAGCGCGTAAAAGCCAAGAAGGAAAAGCTTGACAAGAAGAGGAACATCATCCCGAAGGTATTCTCTCTTGAATTTGGCTTTCTGGATTCTGAGTTTTTTATTGCTATTTACTTGATTGATTTTTTGGTGGTTCTTCTCGCGTGTAAATTGGTAATGTTGTTCTTCGATTGTAATAGTGGCAGGATTTTGAAATGCGATTCAATACTTGCAGCATTCATTCAACTTTTTCTTGATTGAAATGTTTTTGAGCCATATTGTTTTGTTGCTGGATTCTAGAGTTTAGTTAAACTACTTGTAGTATGTCATTGTGTAACTTGATAGATGAGAATTGGATGCTACCCAGGTTTTAGGTTTCACGTCTCTGTTTTCGCTTAGCAAATCCCTCTTCATTGATTGGTTCATTTCATCTGTTTCCTATGGACATTGATGAAAGCATCTGTGAATTGGTTCTCCATTCTTTTCATTTAACCGATTGCCAGTTGTCTGGTCTCCTAAGTTTACTACCCGGATGTTATGCATTTGATTGGGGTGTATCTTTTTTGGGTTTGTCATTTTTTTTTATCTTCACAGATCTTATGTTATTGGCTTGGCTTTTATCTAGGATGAATGTAGAGTTAGTTCCCTAATCTTGCTTGATATGATACTGTGAGCCCTGTTGACCGTTGTGGCGATTTTGTGTGCAGGAGGAAGCTACAGCAGTAAAGGCAGCAGGCAAAGCATGGTACCAAACAATGATTTCAGATAGTGATTACACCGAGTTCGAGAATTTCTCCAAGTGGCTTGGTGTGTCTCAGTGATTTCGTTTCTCTTTGACAATTTCTTCATAGACATCAGTTTGTCAATTAAATTTTGTATGCTGTTGTTTTTGCCTTTTCCTATCTTCTTGCCCCCTTTCTTGTCTACTTCTGGAAATGGAATTGAACATCTGAAGAGCTTAGGGAGGTCAGTTTAGTGTTTGGTTTACACTTCAAACTTATATTTAAAATTGAATCCATTGTTTGCTATTTTGATAGTTACAGATATCTTTGTACGTACTACAGGGGTTCACTTTAGGTATGAATGTTCATGCAATTTAATGACTAGTTCTCATATAATATATGGGTTCTTCATAACCAATGAAGAACAATGCACAATATTGATTGATCTTGATGGTTGATCCAGATGAGCCTCGTTTAGATTAATCACGATGTATCCAGCAGCAGCCCAATCCTAGAGAGATATATAAAATGAGATGGGCTACTACTGAACGGCCCAGTATCTTGTTGGGCCGTCTGGTACTTGGTCCAATCTATGCGATACAAAAATTACAAATTTCAAAGATCATTTTAATCTCAATATTAATTATATCTTAATAATTTAACTTCTTTTTTACAATTTTTTTTTTCAAACCTTGAGATGAATTTGTAAAATCAATAAACATAAATTAAAAGTCGTTTGATAATATCTCTTCAAAGAATGACATCTAAAATATTATTAAATTTTCCTTAAAAATCAATATTAAAGTTTTTTTTTTTTTTTTTTGCATTAAGAAATAAAAAGGGTAATTGTTAATGTATTAAGAGTGTGTTTTAATCCCCAAGGTTTTGTCTTTAAAAAGTTGATGTCCTATATCAATGACAATGTTACAATTTATTGTACCACAAAAAGCTATTCACATTAAATTCCAGTGCACCGTACCGTACATGATTCTGTCTCTCTGACCATAATAAAACACATGTTTTCTCTTTAATTTCATTATTATTATTATTATTATTAGAAAAGTTTTAATCTTATAATTTATATTTATTATCTTTTCTTGGGATTTTTTTTATATAATAGATAAATCTTGTATTCTCTCTAGGCATCAACGGTGTAGTTGGTTGATTTTGCTTTCTATTAAAAAATGTTGTTATTTATTAATTAAAAAACACATTTTTTTAGTTTCCAATTGGGTAATTATACATTAAAATATTTAGAAATGGTTAATGGCCATTGCCAAATTTTTCAAGCTCCATGTAAAAGTGGACCTTCCTTTTCCTAGGGATTTGCATTATAAAATTTAAAAAATAAAAAGAAATCAACATTGGTTTGTCACATTTAAGTACGCTATTTTTGGTAGTTGGGCAAAATAAAAAAATGGTTATTAAAAAAAAAAAAGAATGTTTTGAGAATTATTCTACATTTTGTAAATTCACTAAAAATAATAAAATCTCAAAAGAAAAATGATAAAATAGTAATTCAACATTTTCCGGTTTAAACAATTTATAAACAACACTCTTCTCGATTTTAGGAAACAAATTCTAACGTTAGAGTTAAGCAGAGGCACATGAATAAACCAAAACTATATTAAAACAAGAACGATTTCAATGATAAAGTTATTCTCAAAAAATTGAAATTGCTATCTATAAGGCAACTCAATCGTATCGTGGTAATTCAAAAAATCTTATATATATTAGATTAATTGTAATGGTAGAAATTATGAACAAATTTTGAAATGGAAAGATGAATGAAGTACTTAAAAAAAGATTATTAAATTTCCATAAAATATGCCATTAATTGCTTAAAAAAGGTTATACTAAATTAAAGTAAAAAAATGTATTTTAAACTCAAACTTTAAAAAGGAAAAGAGAGAGAGAGAAAGAGAGAGTGGTCTGAGTCACAATTGGTGTCCGTTGGTCTGATTGATTTAACCTCCACACAGTCTCCCTTGTTTTCTTTCAAACATCTCAGAGAAAGAGAGGAAGAAGAAGTGAGTCCCCCACTTCTCCCCTTTTTCTTCCATCCGCCATGGAAATCGAGCTCCACCTCCAATAGAACAACGGCTTCTCCCACTTTCTCTCTCCCTTTCTCTCTCCTCTGCCCCCTCACAATCATATTAAAACAGTTATCATTCTCTTTACTGGTGACCCTTTTCTACTCTTCTCAGAATCTCTCTGTTTTTCTTCTTCTTCTTCTTCTTCTTCTTCTTCTTCTTCTTCTTCTTCTTCTTTCTGTCAGTTTCTTTCACCATGCTTCTATGTTTCTGTAACCACTACTGTGGAGTTGTGATGGATTGATTCAATACGATCCCAATTATGCTTTGATTTCAATGGCTTTTGCAGAACGTGGAGCTTCAAACCCAATGCTGGATCTTAACCTCCAAGTTGTTTCCTCTGATTCGGTTGAGTTGGTTACTGAGAGGCTTTTCCAGTTTCCACCGATCAGAATGGAAAGCGCCGGTAGCTTTAACGGCGATCTTTCTGCCAGCACTACCGGCGACGAGGACTCATCTTCCAACGCTGATGAAGCTTTCCCGTTCGCCTTCGGTAAGGACTGCGCGGTTCAGGAAAACTTAACGGCCAAGTCACTCTGTATTTCCGATAACCAGCGCGATCAGACGATGGAGCTTTTTCCATTAACAGGCGGGTTATCTTCTGGTTCGAGTTCTCAGAAGCAGTGGCTGGAGGTTTCTCCACCGGAATTTCACTATTGGGGAGGAGCGCTGGAGCGGCGAATAACAGCACCGCCAGGGCAACAACAGCATCAGCCGATGAGGAAGAATCGGCGAGGTCCAAGGTCTCGGAGTTCGCAGTATCGTGGCGTTACCTTTTATCGAAGAACAGGAAGATGGGAATCGCATATTTGGTAAGGGTTTCAATTCCTTCTCCATATTAGGTTGCTTGAATTTGAATCCGCCATCTATGCCATTCTTGAGCACATTTTCTGTTCATTACAGGGACTGCGGGAAACAAGTTTATCTGGGTATGATTTCTTAATGTTCTTCGTTCAAACTTCGATTCTTCATTCTTTCTGATCTAAATCTTGTTCATGGCCATGGCTGTTTTCCTCCCCCTTCAGGTGGTTTCGATACTGCACATGCGGCTGCTAGGTAACCAAAAACCATTTATCTTCTCGTTTGCTTGTGTGTTAGAATTCGGATTTTCCATTTCAGGGCGTATGATCGGGCGGCGATCAAGTTTCGGGGGGTCGATGCAGATATCAATTTCAATGTCAGTGATTATGATGAAGATATTAAGCAGGTGGGATTGGCTAAGTTAATACTCATTACTGTCAGAACTTCAAACTCTTTCTCTAACGCCATTGATGAAGAGCTTTACTCTTGGCTGCCATTAATGTCCCAGATGAGTAATTTTACCAAGGAAGAGTTTGTTCATATTCTTCGCCGCCATAGCACTGGATTTTCGAGGGGGAGCTCCAAGTACAGAGGGGTCACTCTGCATAAATGTGGGCGATGGGAGGCTCGGATGGGCCAGTTCTTGGGCAAGAAGTGAGTATTCTCTTAACTTTTGGACAGAACATCCTAGGACTTTGTTTTCTGTGTTTTTGTTGGCTTATGTTTCTGGGTTTTTGTCTTGAATTGAGCTGTTTTTATTGGCTTTTTCCTCCTTGTAGGTACATATATCTTGGTCTCTTTGATAGTGAGATTGAGGCTGCAAGGTCTTCTTAAAACCATTCTTGTTAACCCTTTCAAGCTTACACCATTTCATTTTTAACTTCTTGTTTTGCTTTTTAATCAGAGCATATGACAAAGCTGCATTGAAATGCAATGGTAAGGAGGCTGTCACAAACTTTGAACCAAGTTCTTATGTTGCAGAGATGGCTTCTGAGGCGGCTGGCACAGCAGGTTTGCTCCTTCTCTGGCTATACAATTTGCTACTTCATCATTTAACGACCCGTCTGCTCGGTCAATCGAGTTACATTCGGTATTGAAAACTGTGTTGATTATGTCCCACATGCAGACAACAACCAGATTCTTGATCTGAACTTGGGAATTGCTCCCCCAAATCTTTGTGAGGCTCAAAGTGAGAGCATTGCCATGTTTGAGAGAAGAGCTATGGTAATTGTTTCTCAATGCTGCATTTCGCTTTGTTTTGATGCTCGGCTAACATGTATCTCCAATGGCAGCCTGAGAACTCTGTTTCAGCAGCAATTAGATCATCCCATTCCGAGCCGTATAGCTTTGCAGTGCCTTCCAATTACCATTCTCCTTGGAGTGTTTCAAACTCCAGTTTCTTTCCCAACTCAAGGGTAATAATAATCACTACATACGCCATTTTGTTTATATTCAGCTTACCTAGGAACTCTGTGAGTAAGTTGTTTTTTTATGTGAGGTCCACAAAACACATTTATTTCAGTTGAAGGGTACATATTTCTTTTGTTTACATTCAGCTCCTCACGTACTAGGTAGATAGGAGTAGATATATCTGTTTATCATGTGGGGCTCACCATACTTTACCTAGTTTCTTTTTCTTTCTTTTCTCTCTCTCTCTCTTCTAAAGTAAAAAATTAGTGGGGTGGACAAATTTAAACCATTGGGGGATGAAATATATCTAAACCAATTGAACTATCATGTGGGTGGAGAGATTTGAGCCTCTAACCTATGTGATGCTATCCTGTAAGGTTGAAATATTTGAACCACTAATTCGTTGGTGGATGATATATATCTAAACTGATTGAGTTATCATGTGGGGTTAGAAAGATTTGAACCTCTAATCCTTTGTTCGATGATATATATCTGGTATATTTGGGTAGGTGGGTAGTTTTGAGGTGTTTTGGATGGATGTTTGAATTGGTAACATGATTAAAATTGGTAAAAAATGCAGGAAAGAGCAACAGAGATGAGGATGGGGGTTGGGGTTGGGGTTGGGTCATGGGAGTGGCAAATCCATGGCCACCCAAGTGGAACAACCTCTGTGCCACTCTTCTCTGCTGCAGCATCATCAGGATTCCCTTCTTCTTCTTCTTCTTCTTCTTCTTCGACTGCCATTCCATCAGCTTCATCTGGTGTTGGTGAAACCCATTTCCCAGCAATCTTCTACTGTAGGAGTTGAACAGAGATAGAGAGCACCGGGTGGAATGGGAAGAAGGAACACAAATATCTCACTTCAAATGCATCATTCTTTCTTTGTTTCGGAAAGATTACAGGTAACCCATAGTCTGAGTCCGCTGCCTTATTTCAACGCCATTTATTGATGTATTTTAAGATTCTCAGTATGTTGAGGTTACTGGATGTTCATATCACTCATTTCCTTTTTTTTTTCTTTTATAGCTTCATTGACAATGTTGTTATGTTGGGCTTATTAGTGAACCTAAGACCATGGCTTTCCTTCACTTCCTTATCTTCCATATTTGAGTTTTTAAGCTCTGTTTCTTATGGTTCCGTTTTTACCATTTCGTTGAAGCTAATAGCGTGAGATCTCACATCAACTAGGGGAGCAAATTATTCCATATATGGATGTGGAAACCTCTCATTGCTAGACGCATTTTTAAACTGTGAAGCAGACATGATTATATGTAACAGAATAAAGTAGACAATATTTGTCTGCGTTGCATTTGGGCTATTATAAATAGTATCAGAATCAAATATTGGGCAATGTGGACGACCACTCTCCATGCGTTTTAAAACAACTCTCTCTAGTAAATATATTTTAAAATCGTGAAACTATAGACACTTTATAAAAGAAAGGTACACTTCAATTTTAAAAGTAAAAAATTACATTTCTTTATTTTTTTTTGTTAAACTTAAATGAGAAAAAATTTAAATACAACCAATGTGGTAATGAAAATTTGAATATCGGACCCAACGAAAAGAGTAAATATCCTAATCATCAATCTATAAGCAACGAAAATTTCTAGCATCGTACCCATTTTCCTTACACAGTGATGGTGACGAACAAATAGATGAAGTATTCCTATTCCATTAAAACCTAAAAATTTCTTCTATGGTCATGTTTCCTCTATTAACATATAAAATTAATGCATCTACAGCAAAGTTTCGAAATGCAAAAAATAAGTTCGAAATACTTACCTAAGAATATTCGTCTCATTGCGGGGTCGCATTCATGATCTCTGTCCATCTTCATCGTAGGGCCTGTGCCTACGGCAGTTAAGGCCCATCTCCGCCCGCCTCGCCGGCATCCGCCGTCACCTCCGCCTGCACCCTACTGATCCGTCTTCTCCTTATCAAGCGAAGTTCCTATCGTGTTGTCAGAAAACAAAAAGACGAAGATGAAAAGTCCAATCGTCAAAATACAAATCCATCCATCAATTATTAGCAACTGTCAGTCAGTATTGACTCAACTATTCATTCTGCAAACCCTAAATCGAAAGCATCGCAACGCAATTTCATTCAATTTACCGGTCAGTTCATCTCCTGATTCAGACTTCAGAGCGTCCTCTTCTCATTCACTATCTTATTTTAGCATACGAAGCTATGTTCTTCTGAAATTTGTGCATAAAAATGGTTGAAAAACCGATAATCGAGAACTGTGATTACCTTCCAAAGTTTTCGTCCCCAATTCACAAAGAATAATCGGTCGTTTCGGACTCTCCTTACAGAAGCAGAGGTACATCCCTTTCTCTCTTTAGCGATGGCTACAATTGGTAGGCTCCTTTCTGGAGGCAGACAAGGGATTAAAAGCTTTCGCCTATCAATTGCGTGACAAAAATGTTGTTTCAGAGCAGTGAAGACGGCGATCGGATCGAGATATGAAGCTTCGGTTCTTCGCTGCTGCTGCTGCTCACTAAATATTTATAGGTACTCTAGTTCCACACGTCACTTCTCAAAATATTTTCTCCTTTTTTCTTTTTTTTTTTTAAACTAAATTATAGAATTATTTATCAATTTAACTCTCAATATTTTAATAATATCTTTTAAAATTTTTATTAATAATTTTAACACAAAAATTTAAAAGTATCGTTAAATTCCAATTATTCCACCATACAAAAATACCTATATAAATTTGGACCGATTTCAGCCCAATTAGAGATGGGCCGTCCATTGTTGGGCGGCCCACGAAGACCTGACTTTCTTTTTTAACGAGAATATCCTAACAGAGTGTCATCTACTTCTAATAAGTCATGAACTAGATTAGAATCATTCTCAGCGAGCCAATGAAATATAATCTCATTTTTTTATTCAAGATGACAATACAAAATGTATGAAACAATTATCGATTCTTGAACTAATTAAACAAACAAATAAATGAGATTATAATTTAGATTTTAAATTAATATAATTATTATCTTGGAATTTAAATGGTTTGATAATATATATATTTTTAATTAAATTATGGAGTGTGAATTTTAAAAGGAATTTTTGTTAAATTATGGACATAAATTATAAATTAGAGACAGGTGGCGAAGTATATACCATAATTCTCATTCAGAAACTTGACCGCTAAGCAAGTGTTAGAAAAAAGTGAAACAATCATGTGAAACGCATTATCTCTTTGCCGTTTTACTGCTTTTTACTTTTTAAAAATTCTAAAAATACAAAAATATAAAAATTTAAATGCAGCTAAAATCATATAACACATTAGCTGTTAGCATTTGATTCCACTAAGCAAAGGAAAAGGCGTCCTCAAAAGGAAGAGGTATTATGCATCTTTATACCAAAGTTTTTTTCTCCTTTTATTTCATTTTAATTTAATTTTTTTCCCTCCCATCCGTTGTGTTTTAAAGGCAAATAGTCAAGCAAATCCATTATAAAACTATATATTATAATTAATATTTGCAAGGTTCCCTTTATTTCAATTTTATTTGTATATTGGCGTGGAATTGAAAATACCAATTAAACTAAAAATTAGGTAGAAAAGCGTTAAAGAAAGATACTCGAGTGGAATAATCGGCCTAATTTTCGACTAAAAAGTGAATAATGTTGGATCGGTATGGCAACCCTAGAGGGGGGGTGAATAGGGTTTTAACGATAAAAGTGTTTAAACGTGATTAATTTTTCTAATGATGAAACTTTTTGCAAATAAGTAGAAGATGATAATTACTATAACAAAGTAATTCAAGTCAAAACAATAATCAAGTAGAACATGCAATAAATCACAATAATAATTTTGAAATTAAGTAGAAAAGAGTTAGAGAAAATGACACCGTAGTTTTATAGTGGTTCGGTCAAACTCGACCTACTCCACTCCCCAAGCGCCTCTTGGGAATTTGAATAAAGAACTTTCTCGACTCTTTCCACGGATCTGAGTCAAACCGCTACACCGCTCTTTTTACGAGTTCAAGAGCAAACTCAATCCTTTCCACGGCGCAGGATCAAACCGATACAAGTATTTGAGTTTGATAATAACACACCACAACTCTCTCAAAGAGTAGATTTACAATTTGGGATACTCACAACTATTTCCTCACAATACAAAAATAATCCCTCTCAAGAATAAGATGAAAAGAAATGAACTTGTAAGCTTGGAGAGAGCAACAAACAATGGAGACTTTGAACAAATGAGGATTGGAGATGTATGTAAGTTGTGTATTTTAAAATGTGGGGAAGATGAGTTTATATAGAGGAGAAAAGTGGCAAAATGTAGGATTGAATATTGACCATTGGATTGTGTTAGGAATAATGGAAGGTGGAGATTAAAAGTAAATAAATAAGAAAATTTTCTAAATTCATTTATTTCAAAATTTTAATATAATAGTAATATAATATAATAATAATAAAAAGTTATGTGAGTAACGGTCAAATGAAATTCAAAATTTATTATAAATATAATAATATAATAATAATAAAAACTATGTGAGTAACCACCAAAATTTTAAAATATAATAATATAATAATATAATATAGTAATAATAAAAATCGATGTGAGTAACGGTTAGATTCAAATTTATATTTTGTAAAAATAACTTTATTTAAAAATATAGTAATAAGAAAAACTCCACCATTTGTTACTCTCCAAAAATCATAAATGTCATACTTTGATATATCTTGATTTGTCCATCATTTTGATTTTGCTGCCACATCATCACGCCGGGTATGTTGTCTCGACTGTAATTTTCGTTTTAGCTCTGATTTGAGTAATTGAAAAGTCATTGAAATCGTTATTCCCGACCTTATACTGTGGACAATTCAAAATACTGAAAATAGTTAATAATTAAAAAGTAGGTTTGTTATCATCAAAACATCAATTAATTGATTGAAATTAATTAGAGTGAGATCAAGGCCAAAAAGCCAACAATCTCCCCCTTTTTGATGATGACAAACCATTTCAAGAAAAATTCATAAAAACCAAGGTAATACACCATCCATGTAATATATGCTAATATATTATCATAAATTTTACTCAAGCATATTCTCCCCTATATTAATGCCTCAAGAAATTATGAAAACATAAAACAAGTAAATGATTCATAAATAATAAAACAACAAACTTAGAGCATATTTTTCTTAATTTTCTCCCCCTTTGTAATCATCAAAAAGAACAATCGAAAGAGAATACATTTAAGAATGACGTAATGGCTCCCCCTAAAAACATGCATTCAAAAATTATAAAATTCAAGATATATCACAACGAATAATACCAAGCTCAAGCCTATTTTTGCAAAAAATTTCTTCATTCAATGGCTTGGTGAAAATATCGGCTAGTTGATTATTAGAGTTTACAAAATCAAGAATAATATGTCCATTTTGCACATGCTCTCTAATAAAATGATGTCTAATGTCAATATGTTTAGTTCTAGAATGATGAATAGGATTTTTAGTTAAATTAATAGCACTTGTATTATCACAAAATATAGGCACACTATGAAACTTTAATCCAAAATCACAAAGAGTTTGTTTCATCCAAAGAATTTGAGCACAACAACTAGCAACCGCAATATATTCCGCTTCGGTAGTAGATAAAGCAACCGAATTTTGCTTTTTACTAAACCAAGAAACTAAGGAACTACCAAGAAATTGACAAGTTCCACTAGTACTTTTACGATCAAGTAAGCTTCCGGCAAAATCCGCATCAGAATATCCTATCAATTTAAATTCAACATTTCTAGGATACCACAATCCTAGATCAATAGTTCCAAGCAAATATTTAAATATTCTCTTAACGGCATGTAAATGAGATTCCTTAGGACAAGATTGAAATCTAGCACAAAGACATACACTAAACATAATATCGGGTCTACTAGCGGTCAAGTAAAGTAAAGATCCAATCATACCTCGATAAGTTTTAATATCCACACTTTTACCTTTTTCATCCTTGTCAAGCTTAGTGGATGTGCTCATGGGAGTTCTTGCAATCTTACCTCCATTGAACTTGAATCTTTTGAGCAAATCTTTAGTGTATTTCTCTTGATTGATGAA